ATTTTTGTTCTCTTTTTAATGATCAAGTGGTTGTCTCAATCATTTGACATTCTATATAAAGTTTAAAATTAGATTGAACATATCCACAATATAGCTTTCTGGATTTTGATTGCAATTCCATTGAATATATAAATCAATTTAGAAAGAACAGATAGCCAATAATCCCCTAAGGTAGATCAAAGGAGATTCTAAATTAATAAACATTTTTAATTAAAGACAATGCCAAATTTGAATTTGGAAAAATAACTGAAATGTTAATACAAATGACAAATTTATAGCAAGGCTGGGAGATTAGCCAGGAGCCTATGAAAAGCCATTGAAGTGGTCTCAGTGATACCCAGTGACTTACCTGACTTGAGACGGTAGAAAAAGTAAACAGAGTGAATAATTCACGTAGATTTTACAGAAATATACTAAATTACAAGATTTGAAAATAGATGAAATGAAGGAGAGTGAAGATATTAGGGATGATTCTCTGCTTTCAGGATGGGATGACTGGGTAAATGCTGATATCGTTGACTAAGCTAGAACACATTAGCAGTAACAATAGCATGATGTGACACAGTACAGATGGGTAGATATTGCTACTTGATTTTTGAATTAAAATATTTCCAAAGAAATATATCTTCAGGAACAAAGTGCTTTATCAACTACTTGAAACAATTTCTAAAAATTATGGTGTTGATTTATAATTCATATAATATGAATTATATGAAAAAACAGGCACATATAATGTTGAACATCCAGTTAGACACAAAGATGAATGAAACATAAAATTGTAGTTAAAATGCTCATAAACTGATATAGAGAAGACAAATGAAGATATATAGAGTACATAAAAATCATAAACCATTTAAAATGAAATTAAGAAAGTAATTCCTTTTCAGTAGCATCAGAGGTATAATATACTGAGAAATAAATTTAACAAGAAAAGTATAAAATTTATATTCTAAAAATCACAACATGGTTCAAGGAAAATAAAGGTCTAAATAAAAGGGAAAGCATATATTCATGAATCATTTTTAAGCTTTTCAGAAACATTTTAAAATAATACTCATAGAACAGTACTCCTCAAATTGCTTCCTTGGTACAACACAGTCCTTCTCAGCATCTCACCTGGCCTCTTAGTATAAACAGACAAACTGATCCTGACTTGCAAACTCATTACACTATGTAATACAATTATAGAATCAGGAATAAATATATGAATAATCTCTTTCTCTCTCCCTCCCTCCCTCCCTCTCTTTTTTATTTTTCTCTCCACCCCCATTCCCCTGTCCCTCCATCTCTTTTCCTTTCCCCACTCCCACCTTATGAATACTAAGCAAATACTTTACTACTGAGCCTCTCTTTGGCCTAAATGACTCGTGCATCTCTGGTCAACTAATATAAATCAGAGTGCCACACATCCAAGGGGAAAATTATATGAATGAGAAATTTAGTAGAGACAGATAACATAAAACAATCAAAAGTCTTAAAGTGTAACATTTGAATCAGTTATGTAAAAAATATAATGTACAGCTTCTACAACAGACTAGACCAAGAAGAAGAAATAAAAACTTTCTAAATTTGAGAACAAAACATCTCAAACGAGAAAAGAGAAAATGAGTGAAGGAAACAAGCAATGAAGGAAGGAAGAAAAAGAAAAAAATGTGAAGCAAGTCCATAAGACAAATGGGATAATATTAAGTGAACAAATACTCACATTATGGAAATTCCAGGAAAAGAATAAGGAAAAGCATTGAAATCTTATTTAATGAAACATTAGCTCAAAATTTCTCAAGTCTTTGAATTTAGATATGGACATCCATATCCAAGAAATTCAAAGAACTTCAAGTGAACTCAACCAAAAATAATCATCTGCAAGGAATTTGACATAATAGGTCCAAAGTATAAGATAAAAGGAAAATTATAAAGACAGTACATGACAAATCACTTAAAGAAGAATCCACATTAACAGCAAATCTCTCAACAGAAAACTTACAGACCAAAAAGTAATGAAATGACGTAGTTAAAGTCCTAAAAGAAAATCCAGCCAGCTGGAAATATTATTCCAAAACTGTTCTTCACAAATGAATGAAAAATTAGTTGGTTTACTGAAAAGCATAAACTAAGAGAATTCATCACCTTAAAAACTATGGCAGATGCTTAGAGGTAGTCTTATACTAGATACAACATGGTGATGACTGGGATCATGAAAATCTCACTAGCAGAGAAACAGGGACAGACAGAGATGAGAGAAAGAATTAAACTTCACAATGACAGAAAACTACAAACCTCAAAAATAAATCATGAGGAACAATGGAACAAAGAACATACAAAATATTAAGAACACAAAACTGATAAGATTACATTTATACTTATTAATAATATCATTGAATTAAACACATTAGCCCCCAATCTAAAGACACAAGCTAGCTGAGTGGATAAAAGAAAGCAATACCTAACTTTATGCTGCCTGTGATAAACATTTCACTGTTAATAATATGCACAGGCTGAAAAGAAAGGTTGGAAGGCGTACCATACAAATAGAACCCAAAATTTCGTAGAAGTTAAACTTACATGAAACAGACTTTAAATACTAAAGTATAAAATGAGACAAAGATGGTGATTATGTATTGATAAAGGGTAAATTTAACAGAAGACATAACAAATGTAAATATATATACTCCCATCAAATATATAAGGCAAATAGTAGATCAAAAGAAGAGATAGATTCTAATAGAATAATAGTTGTAATCATCAACACTCTGTTTCATGATGAACAAAAATATATAGACAGAACATGAACAAAGATCAAATTATTAGCAACATTTAATTCAATCAATGTCAAAAATATCATGAGATGTAAAATTGACAAATTACTCCAGTTCATACCACCCTGAAAGTCTTACACCTCTCCATGATGTATATCAATTTCCTAAGACATTACTCCTTTGCAATATGATTATGTGGAAGAGATAGAAGGAAATAATTTAACCAATTTTTTCATCCTATGAATATTTGGAAGGCCTTTTTTATGCCACATAAGGTTTCAACTTGACTAAAAGGGGTTAATTATCTGTTGAATCAATGTCACATTGTATTGATACATCTCTTAAAATTTGTAAGAAAATTAACTTTGGACAATGATATGATTGTCTATATACAAAATTCCAAAGAATCCTCAAAATACTTGAACAAATAATGGACTATAGCAAGGTTTCAGGATATAAGATTAATATACAAAGCCAACTGCTTTTCTATATACCAGTTGGAACAAATGGAATTTGAAAAAAAAAACAGCATTACTTTCAATAGCATTAAGCATGACATATTTAAGTATAAGTCTAATAAATTATAAAGAGGGTTTATATGAGGAAAAGTACAAGATTGACCAAAGATACAAATAGATGTTCTGTGATTATGGCAAAAAGATACTATATTGTTAAGAAGTTAGTTAAGATGTGAATTTGTACATCTCAATAAAGAAAATACATAGATGCAGTAAGAACCTCAAAAATTACTCATCATTATATATCATTATGTAATTGCAAATTAAAAAAAAAGATGAATAGGACACTCCTATTATAATGGCCAAAATTCAAGCCTTGATGCCTCCAATTCTGGAATGGGTAGAAAGCATTGGAACCTCGTTCATTTCAGCCAAGAACACAAAATGTCTTCTTTGGAAAACAATTTGCCAGTTTCTTACAAAGCTAAACATAGTGTTACAATTTAGTACCAGGCTCCTAGGTATTTACCCATATGAGTTTAATACTAATGTCCTCACACAATACTGTACCTGAGTATTTACAGAAGCCTTTATCATTGCCCAAAGTTGGAAATAACCAAGATACATCCTTCAGTCAGTGAGTAGAGTATTGAACAGAATATTATTCAGCAGTAAGAAAAGTGAGCTATCAAGCCACAAAAAATTTATAAGAAAAAAATTATGATACACATTTCTAAATGAAATAGTCTAGTTTTTAAAAGGTTACATACTGCATGATTCCAACCACATAATCTTATAGAAAACAAGGCTATGGAGATGGTAAGCACATTAATTCTTTCCAAGAGTTTGGGGAAATTAAAGAAGAATAGGGAGCACATCGGATTTTTATATCAGTGAAACTATTCTATGTGATAACATGCTCATGGATACAGAACTTAATATACTTATCAAGATCCAGTGACTATGTAACACAAAGATTATTACCTAATGTTAAATATGAGCTTTAATAAATAATTGTGAATTGAAACTCATTCATCAATTATAACAAATGTACCACACTAATGCAAAATGATAATAATAAGGGAAACCACACAGAGGGGAAAAGGGTATATTGAAATTCTTTACCTTTTGCTCAAATGTTACACAAATAAAAATCTGCTCTAAAATACAAATCTGTAAAAAAAAGTCATCTATAGCAAATAAAAAGTAACTTACAGAAACATACATCATACACATGTACAAAAAGGCAGACACACATAATACATGTATTGGCACATATTCAGATAAATACACATCTTTTTTCACCATAATTTTCATATGTTATATATGCTGTTATTTTCTCTTTTCTAGTGTAATGAATGTATATAAACTAATGTAAGTGGGAATTAAGAAAGTAAATGGAGAGCTGGGGATTTAGCTCAGCTGCATAAGCACCTGCCTTGCAAGCAGGCAGTTGTGAGTTTGATCCCTGGTACCGGTTTAAAAAAAAAGAGAGAAAGTAAATGGAGGAAGTGGTGCTGAATCATGCTTATATAAGTTTTGGTTGTAAGGGAAACAAGGGATATGGAAAAATGTGTTTTTAAAAGACATAATGAAGCCAGCTATAAAAATGAACACTATGCATAATATTTCATTTCATTTTATCCTGTAGTTGCTTCACTTTATTTTTTCAAGGATTATAGATGGATACTTTGTTATAACAGTGCATACCAAAAATATATTTCAGGTTTTCCCAAACATTGAAAAGGTAAAGAAAACGAACAAACAAGCAAACAGAAACACGTACCAATTCATCGATGCTGACCAGTATAACATTCTTATATCCTTTACCTTCTTTGTCTTTAAGATGACAGTTAGATGAAGTTACTGGTAACAGAACAAGGATCAAGGGAGGAATTCCAAAGATATACCTAAAAGAAACTAAATGCAACAATAAATGAGAATGAGCTAAGTATGATGCATGTTACATTTGATTGTGCTTTATCAATGGTTTGGGGCACTTCTAGTGATTTTTAAAGTGTATCTCAGTTCTTGAATAATGTAGGCAGAATCCTAAAATTTTCAATTGTGTACAACCAATGTGGGCAACATTTTGGAGTTCAGATTTCATTTACTTTTTTTTCATAGAAACTTCTCTGAGGGAAACTGTAGGACAGGTGTGATGAGATCAAAGAATACTTCTGAAAGACATGCACATGTATCAATATCTTAGCCAATTTAGATTTTTGTTGAACATACCTATAAGACAAGACAACACAGCTATTTTTGTACTTTATGTGTGGCATGTGGTTGTTATGTAAAACTTTGAAGGTAGCCCATGGATGGAATATCCAGTTCCTTTCTGGCAGTGGCACTTTGGAAAGTTTATCTGCACTATGATATTCTTTCTTTTAAATAGTGGAATTTAAGGGGTTTTCCTTTCCCAAAATTCTTACAAAGTTAATCACATTTTGGAGCTCCCTTTCCTGTCTTTCACGCTTTTGTGTATCAGTATGCTCAGAAACCAGGTTCTGCTCAGCTTCTTGTCATGTTAGAAAAACCCAAGAAGCAAGTTTACATCCTTTAAACTAACGATTTGTCTTTCTAACTAGGGACAACTAACCAATCAAAAGAGTGAAGTTATAAATGGTATCATTTAAGATGTAAAAACATACTGAATGGAAATCTACTGATGCCTAGAAACATTAAATCTGATTTATTTCTTCATAAGCCTTCCACAGAGTCTTGTTTATAACGTTCTGTGAAACCCGACTTATTTTATTTTTTATTTATTTTATTTTTTGGTACTTGAGATTTAACTCATGACTTTGTGCTTAGCAGGCAGGCACTTGTGCCACTGAACTAAGTCCCCAGCCGAAAATCCAAATTATGTTAACAATATACTCCCAGTTCATTTCTCAAATAAATTTTAATTGTACTTGTTCCATGCAAAATTTCTCAAATGTGTGTCTTTTCTACTTAGAGAGTACAAATAACACTCTCTAAAACCCAAGAAACTAATATCGTGACAACATCCTGTAGACTGTAAAGATTATTATAAAATTTATAATAATATTGACATGTTATATGGTTATTATTATAAAAAGTTATATATTTCCTAACAAAGAGTCCTTTGTCTACATTATTTCCTAACAAAGAGTCCTACTGTCTACATTCATACAGTGACCCACTGTATGAATGTAAACAGTAGGTTAGGTAGCCATTATGAGAACAAATTTACTTCTCTTTATATGTGACTGACACTTGTTACAGAGAATCAAAAATTTAGTATTGAGGCATGCAATGCATTTCTAGCTTTGCCAATAAATAGCTATATACAGGATTAGCAAGAACTCATTTAGCTTCAAGATTAATAATAACTGATCGCAATAACCTTTGATTCATTATGTACCTTGTGCCAAGGACATATAGGTGATCCTGGATGCTAGCCTGAGTTTGCCACATCACCAAAATTTGACCAGTAATGGTCATAATATTTTGGCAACATGTAGTTGCATTGGTCTTCTCAATGAAAATCACTTCCCTATGATACTGTTTGACTCTCTCTCTCTCTCTCTCTCTCTCTCTCTCTCTCTCTGTCTGTCTCTCTCTCTCTCTTTCTGTCTCTCCACCTTTATCCACAAGATCAGCAAACAGTAGTCAATTGCTAATTATTTATTGTATTTTGACATTATATTGGATCTGTGTAGACTGTATAAATCAGGGTTTTTAAAATATTTTCTCTGTAATTTTCCAGGTGACCAAAAGTTATACTTTGGGAAGAACATATAACAAAAAAAAAAAAAAATAATTGCAGAACATACACCTTGAAGTGAACTTTAAAGAAAATATAATAAACATTACTGTGAAAGGAAAATATTTTTATTATTATCTTTAATTTTATCTCAAAATGAGTTTTTTTTCCTATGAGCAAGAGTTGTCTTCTTCAGCTCAGTTGTCAATCAATGCTCCTAAAATCCCTCTCAATTTACTAATTCCTTGGAAGGCGTTTTATCACTACTTTCTAATGGTGGTTTGGTGAAAATTCAGCCTTTTTGTGTACTACAACTACTATCTCAGTTCTAAAACAATTTACTTTGCTTGTAAATAAGAGTGTTCTGTTATCCCTACTTTTGTTGAGAAAGTGAGTGAGATCAGGAATACAGAAACTTGAGAGTTTTTGTCTTGGTATGTCAATTAAGCTTCACATACCAGATTTCTAAAATAAAATCATGTAATATTTCTTTAGCATTCAAGTGCCTCAGTTATAAGAATCTGCTTGGTTGGGGGCTGGGGATTTAGCTCAGCGGCATAAGCGCCTGCCTTGCAAGCAGGCAGTCGTGAGTTCGATCCCTGGTACCAATAAAAAGGAAAAAGACCAAAAAAAAAAACAGGATCTGCTTGGTTACCTAAATACAGAAACTCTTCAGATTTGAAATTTTATCAGAGACTGTTTTTTATACACACGTAAGGCCAGGGAGAAACCAAATATCATAGGCTTCCAACTTTGTCATTAATGATGTATGGTTTTGTAATTGCAAGTGTTTACTTCCATACCACACACAAAATATGTATAATATATTAAGATTGTATGGTTTGAGCACCACAATGGGAAAGGAACTCAACTTTCGTTTTGTTTGTATTTGTTTCCTACTACACTGGCAACCACCTCTCTCTCTCTCTTCATGAACTTTTCATTAGGTCACAGAAAAGACAAACCATAATGAACAATGCAAGACAAGTGTGGGCTTGTGGAATTGTCTTTAAATCTCCTGAAGGAATTGAAACTGGAGAATTGTTTTCAGTAGGGAATTTGGTTAAACCAGAATGATGGCTGTCTAAAAATTCTTGTTGGTTTTTAATTTAAGCCAAATAATACATTCTATCCTCAGTTGTTTAAGTTATGGGGTCAAAGTGAACATAAATAAATTGGTTTTTACAATCCACCAAATCCAGACTTTTATCAGTGTTTTAAGATTAGCAAAGGTTTACTGAACATCTATTACATAGACTTACTTTCACTGGGAAGTTAGTGTCACAACTACTTTATGAGGTACATACCTACATGGTATTTACATTTTGCAGGTGGAGACTCTGGGACCAAAGAACATTTTCCCAATATATATTGGGTTTAGTAAGAACTAAGATTCAAACCTAATTTGATCAGGTTAAGGATTCTAGAAACTGAAGTACTACTTACACTCACTGCTTTTATAAAAATAACTGTGGATATGTAGTCAAGAGAATAATAAAAAAAATCCTCTGCATGAAACAAGGTACTTCTTGGCCAAGCTCTGAAGTTGTATCATATGTTCTTATTTCAGAGAAAGAAAAAAAAAAAAAAAACACTAAATATCTGCTCTTACTACAATAGGTAGTAAGGAATAAAACTAGTATAAAACCTTACACAGATGAGGGTCATTATACATGTTGGTCTCATAAAGTAACACCTTTTATATTTTTGTTTAAGATGAACATTGATGTGATGCCATTTTCAATTCTTTATAACTTTTCAGGTTTCCTAATCACTCCCAGTTCTCTGCTTTTATAACTACTTCATTTTTCATCCTCAAATATGATGAAATTACACAAGCTATATATAGTACAATTCAAGACCACATAGTGGGTCCTGATCTTCCTAAATACCTAAATACCCTAAAGTAATAGCAAAAAACCAAACAGTCCACAGTAATCCTAGCACAATCTTGATGGAGCTTAAACATCTAGTGAAATCTCTTGGAATTAAATTGCCGAAAGTCAATCATCATAACAAATATTAAAACTTTAGAATTTTAATATTTCATTCGCCAATCATAATTTATGATGTATGACTCACTATGTCAGCAGATAAAAGTCTCAGTGTTAAAAACACACACCCTTGCTTTCTTTTGTCTTTTTACCTCTGGATCAGATAGGTGCAACCCGGGGTGGACCAGAAAAGTAATGCAACAGAATCAAAGGTGTTGAGAAGCAAACAAGAACATGTTCCACCTCTAATTCAATATTAAGCTCCTGGAGAACACCCTTACAAATCTTCTGCCATAACTGTCTTTCTGCTCCCCTCTCCTTCGTTTTGTTACTGAGCTGGGCTTCTTATTATGACAATTCTTGGCACTTTTATACCTGTGAGAGGGGAAATGACTCTGGATGTAACAGTAGCCAGGGAAGCCCAGGGACCATCAAAAGGAAGAGCAGATGGCTGGCTCCCTTTCCGCAGCACTCTCCCCCAACAGGGCTCCTGTTGAGGAAGTATTTATTGGAACATTCTGATTTCCCTGAGCAGCTCCTCTGCCCTCACATCTCTTTCTCTTTTATTCCTGTAGTTTTCAAAGCTAAACTCGCAAATGGACCGCATGATTCCCAGTGGAATTCATCTCACACCAATTCCGTCCATTTCCATTTTTTGTCTTTGTTCTGCGCAAATAAAATACATGAGATTTCACCAGGCACCTAGAATTTTAGACGTTTGTGTATTTAATCCTGACTCCATCAAGGAGTCAACATACATAAAAACAAGGCCTGGCTTTTCTCAATGCTCGTCCCAGACTTGGGTTCCCAGCAATCATTACAAGGTACAGCCCTAGTCGGAAACTCCCAGCATTGCTCAGGGACAAAAACGGGGTTTTCCAGAGATCTGTCCCTTGGGGTTTAAAAGCGCGTCCCCAGGGAACTTCGCTTTCAGTTCTCTAGGAAGTTTGGAGCTGCTAGAACCCAGCCACTTGCTGAACGCAGGCTGCCCGTGAGTAACTCTGCGCAGTCAAGAGCACGGGAAGGATTGATCGGTCGTGCTGTTGCTGGGGGGTTGCGCTGGCGAGGGTCAGACACTGCGCTGCTTGCCTCTGATTCCCGCTGTGACCCAGCCGCCGGGGAGCCACACCGACCGACGCAGCCGCGCTGGGGTTAGGGACCCAAATGGGCGTCAGGTAGTTTCTCAGTCAAGGTCAGCAAGCCCAGGTGCAAGTGGCAAGAGCCACGTTCCTGGGGCGCGGGTAGTGCCTGACCAAGGAAGAGGCTGTGCTCAGAGGCTCAGAGCAGGTCCAAAGTGCGAGGCCGGGCTATTCCCGGACGTGCACGGGCGCGGGGGCGGGGGGCCGACCGCGCGTCCCGGAGTCCCAGGCGCGCCAGGCGCGCGAACTTACGCGCCAGGGAGAGGAGCGCTTACCATGGAACATGGTCTGCGGGAGGCTGGCATAGTCATGATGACCGCAACTGCAGCAGGAGCAAGCTCTCACCACCCATAATCACGCCCAGAACCCTGGTCTTCTGCGGGCTTGCCAGGAGTCGATGCTGGGCAGGGCAGGCTCTGCAGCTGGTTCCTCTCTCCCACGCGGCCCCTGCCGGTTCATCCATCCCAGGGGCGGCACACATCACGGCCTGGCTCTGCGGTTTGCTTTTTCCATAACTTCCGTAGGATCACCCGGTAGTGTACTTTCAGTTTCTACTTTGCGCTTGGTCTGCAGGTTCAATCTTTGGGTTTATCCTCTGGGTTTCTTCGCCATGCACCTGTACCAGGACCTGAGCTCGGTGCAGATTTTCGGAGTACTTCAGGAGAAACCAGCTGGTCTTGTGAATCAGTGTGATTCGGGCTAAAAGACTTTCCTGATGACTTCTCACCCCCTTGGCAGCTCTGGGCGACTGGAAGCTAAAACCACCAGTTGCTAATATGTCCACGGAAGCCACAAATATACAAGGCAAAAGCTGGGCTCTTGTAAGTGAACGCCACCAAGGAGGCGTCGCCGCTTCTGCCGCGGATGTGGCAGACGTTGCCAAGTCATCTTGTAAAAAAAGGAAGTGAAGAATGATTAAGAGGTTCACGCCCTATGCCCCTCCAATCTCTAATCAGTTTTTTTTTCCTCTCTGTCTTCTGTACATGCACCTGCTCAGGTGGGACCTTAAAGAAATAGAGTTTTGTGGGTCCACCTCATCTGGTAGGTAAGTGCTATCTTTGGACAATCAAAAGCCTCCAAAATTAGTGAGAGACATAGAAAATTAACTGTAGTAACTATGACTCCCACATGTGAATTTAACTGATTTGTCTAATAAATCAAACTGCATTTTGAGTGTGTGTCCCTGAACAGGGAGTTTTAGCTAGGTCTGAATTACGTACATATTTTATTTTAGTTTGGTTTCTTACATTCCGTAGAGACCTGCTTAGATGAAGGTGGATATTAGAAGCCAAAAACAGAGATTATAATGGCTATAATTTATTTAGCATGGGCCATATATTGTTGAGTGGAAAACTTTCTATGAAGTAAATCGTTTTCTTATCTGCACTTGACAGATGTGGGAGCAGATTTCCTTAAGTAGCACGACATAGTTCACTTATCTGGCAGAATTAGAACAAAATCTTTCTGCATTTGGCTCCAAATTCTATGCTTGGAAACCCTGTCTTATAGGACTTTGTGAAACAATGTGGCAATATATTGATTGAAGAAATTGATTGAATAGGTAGATAGAATATAGGACGTTGGTAACTTAGTGTGGAGATCTCAAGAAAGGTTCCTGGAATTTGTGATTTCTAAATTGAAGCTGACCAGAGAAAATTTGGAAGTGGTTAAAAGTCTTCTAGATTCCGTGAGGATGTAACAAATAAACAGGTAGAATGAAAGAAGGCAGAAAGGGAAAGAGAACAACGATAAATTAAAGAGTGAGACAAAGGGGTTCGAGCCAGTCCACAGTCTTGCCCAGTGACCACCAAAGCTAAGTTTTACCTATGCCTCATCCTCAGAGCAGCAGGATGTCTGGTCACCCTTCCCTCTATCTGGCCACTTGCCACTGTGTACCATGTCCGCAAGGCCCTGCGTAATCAGGGTCCTGTCCCCATTCCTCACACCTACTTGACTTCACCGTCCTGCTGCCACTCTGGCCTTTCCGCAAGATTACTTCCATTTGGAATGGTCCAGCACATCGTTGGCACTCAGTACTGATGAGTGACAGAATGCAGTACAGCAGGGACATGAAGACTGTGTGGGAAAGTGTGTGAAAGCAGAAAGAAAACAATAGGAAAGAGGAAGAAAACGAGTAGATCAGGAAGACGGAGTGGAAGGAGGGAAAGCCAAATGTTTCCATTTTACTGGAACCCAGATGGGAAGGTGGAGAAAAGAGAGAGGTGAAGATGCAGTGACTGTTAATGATAAACTCTGTACTCCACGTGACCTGAATGGTTGTTTGCTTATGTAGAATCTCTGACAGGGGCTTTGAAGTATGTAACTGCTCATAGCCTGAACTGATTTTTCTTCTTTCTGTGGTAGAACTTTTCAGGGGCAGAGTAAAAATGTATCCATCAACAACTTTCACAAGAGGAAATCCTCCTTCTTCTGGTATGCAAACACCCTGAAAGACAGTGAAATAAAGGCTTTTGCATAAGCTAGATTTGGGGGAAAATGAAGGGAAATTACTTAAAAGTCAAGGAGAAGACATAAATGCTTCACTGCACTTTGCACCTACATATGAAGAATTTCTTTTGAAAATGTTCAGAAAGCATTTGGAATATTTATGGTTATATGAAAATTAATTCATTTTAACTTCCTCAAAGTTGATTGTTCTATGAGAAAATTAATGTTGTTTAGAAAAAATTCTAATATGAAATTTAAATTGGCTCTTGCTATTTTGATACACTAAATTACTTTTTAGTCAAAGTTTCAAAGATAAAATGTTTTTTCATTTTTAAAATGTTACTGATTTATGATTGTAAAATGAAGTGGTTGACATCATACTTCCTCATAGAACTGACTGATTGATGAACCATGCAGCCAAGCCAATAAGGAGGCAAAATAATGTAAATTTCATGAATTATAATCAATAAATATTAAATGAGAAGATAACATTCTCAGAATGATCAGTACAGCAGGACAGAGACAAAATGAAATAATATGTCAACATAAACAGTAAATTTTCCCTAAAATGTACAATCTTCAATCAAAATAGTCAATTATAGCTAACCTGAAAATATTTTCTTACCCAATTTAAAAGCCTGTTTTTATGGTCTGAAATCAGATGTCTACCTAGTATAATATCTAAGATAGTTTCAGAAGTTTGTATGATTTAATTTTCCCCCAAAAAATGTTAGACTTGTTTGAAACACACTTACACACATAAGCACACACACAGACATTAGTAAAGATATGTAGTTCCACAGGCTCCTATGTTTTGAAGGGTCCGTGGTTGGTTTGATTCTCTTCTGTGACTGTTTTGGAATTCTTACTTATTTTTAGATAAGGATCTCATATTTTCACTCTGCACTGGACTCTCAAATTCTGTAACTTGCTGTGCAGTCACACTTATTAAGTTATGCATTACAGATAGTAATATGTAACTTTAAGGTGATTTCAGTTTGATAGACAAAAGAGATAAATGAATAATTTCTTCAAAAGGGAAAAGGATCAAGAGTAGCAAGGAGAGGGAAACGAAAGGAAAGCAAGGAGATTAAAAAAAAAAAAAGAATGAAGATGCATTATGTACATGTACCAGCTTCCCGTAATGAATATAATCATTATATACTGCAAATATGTACTAATAAAATTTTAAAAACCCTCAAATAAATAAATAGACAACTAAAATTAAGGGGAGAGTAGGATAAAAATATTTTACATATAGAAATTGCCCCCTCAAGTGTGAGATCAAGGTAGAGGATGGAGAAGTAAAAGGAGTCAAAGTACACTGTATGTAGTTACAAACCTGACAAAATGAAACCTATTCATCCATGTAACCAGCATGCACTAGTAAAAAAGATGTGAATATATTTAAATAAAGAATGAAAATATTGTGAACAAGAAAGAATGATATGCCTTTAATCAGGGATTTAAACTAATATAGAACCATTTGTAGTAGAGATTCATAAAAGGTTAATGTATCTGTCCAATGGTTAAAAAAAGTCTACAAGTAACTAATTTGTAATTCTAAATCAGATCTGCTTGATTGCCTAGTCTGAAATTAAAATTTAATTTTTAATTTCATCAAATGACCACTGACCATCTATTTACAACATAGTTATGGTTTTTATCATTGCATTCCTTAATAAACCATACATTTGTCAAATGTAAGTTGTCAATATTGAGATTTTACAGTTGTAATGTTTGTTGTTTGTATTATGTTCAACTGGTTTGAGTTGTTTTGCACATTTTTTTCTAGCATCATAAGAGGAACTGGGAATTGTGTTGCTTTCTAAATGTCTACGTGTAAGCCTTCCGTGAAATATTTGTTTCTGGAAGACTTACAAGAGTCCAAAAGAGTCCAACATAAAGAGTCCAAAACTAAAGCATAGTTTTATGAAATGAAATCCAGCAGTAAGAGTAGACTCTTAATTTTGATTATTATAAGACTGAAAATAGTTCTGTAAGATTAATCAAAACAACCATATCAGAAGGTCAAAAGCTCTGTAGCAGATACATATGTTAGCAAATCATTGATGGCTACAGCCGTGAAATTACTCAATTTACATATTCAAAGAAGGAACTCATGCTAGGAGGAATCTTGAGATGCAAGCACAGGGGAAAAGATTGCCCACCAATAAAACAAACAGATTGTGGCAGCAAAGTAAGAAAGTTGGAATTCAGAGCCCCAACAGGCAGTGGAGGACAGAATTTCAAAATAAAGTAAGTAATCAGTGTTTCAAAAAATCAAATCTCAGAAAGACTGAGTAAGATACAGATTGGAAGGTGTATCCACTTGATTTGGCAAAGCAAACACTGCACATTATCTTCAAATCAATCGATTGGGAAAGAGGATGTGGGAATAAAAAAAAGTAAGAGGGGCGTATTTTTAGAGACGTTTAATAGAAAGGAATGGGTGAGTGGTTTTGAAACACAAATTACAAGTTTTGTTTTTGAGACATACTTGGGCATGTTTATATATTAATCAATAAAATTAGGTCTGTGGTAGGGGGATTGATGTAACCAAGAGGATGGGATGGATTTATTGCCCTTATACTCCTCATTACCTTTGTTCTTTAATTTCATTTCTTAAGCTGCAAATGTAAACATTCAGAATCCATTATATATTTAGTGCCTAATTCATACTCCTTTTTGAAGAATTCCTAATGATACTTACTTGTGTAATATTGGAATAATGGTTGACTTTTTGAAAAGAAAACTGTAGTATGTCCCCAAATGCTTTTCAGATTCTTTACATGCTGATGGGCGTGTTGTTGGCAATCAATACTTACTCTCCTATGCTAGACTTTGCAGGGATTATGGTTTTAACTACTACCTTTATAAAAGATTAACCAGAGAAGCTTTCACCTACAACAATTTTCTTCAATACAAAGTGTCTGAAGAAATTGGAAAAATGTTTTGCTTACATCCCTGGATAGATTTTCTTTATGTTTTCAATTACTATAGAGATAGTGATTAGTTCTTCAGAACCCTTGGACAGCAGGAACTGTGTCTCACTTAACCTAAATTCACGTCAGTGCACAGAATTCCTTTCAAGTTATAAACTTTATCCAAGTATGACTGCAAAAAGGGAAACATCAGAGTACATGAGTTTCGACTTTTCTTACCAAAAATCGTTGCTCTGCATGGAGCTATGTTAACATCCAGGAAGGATACACTGACATGTACTGATTGACATTGATGCCCAAGGTTCTAGTAAGCTCATTAGAATTCTAATATTTAATAGATAATTCTAATATTTTCTTAATACAGACGAGACTGTTAAAAATTTGATTACTGTCAGTTATCAAGTATGCATAATCTGCCTCTCTTTCCAGTAAACTAGGTTTGTTCCAGTAAATTAGGTTTGTTC